GTTGATATGGCAAAGTCAAAGGCACCTATCTGTCTTTACCATTTCAGCAGGGTTCAAGGTGTCGGAGAATGACAGAACACTGGGTCAAAAGTCACCTGACCTACTACGCACATTAGTGCGCTGCTTAGTCAGCGGGAGATGTTATATAGCAGGACTAACATCTCTAATTGTGTCTAACAAAGCTCATCACTGACCTTCTCCCCTACAATCATCTGCTGCTGTTCTAGTAAAGTTTTCCACCACAGCCTGGATGACAAATCCTGAAATGCAAAATGTGGTCCCATGTGTCCTAGCTCCAATGTTGGATCCTGGAAGACGTGTTGAGCAGACCTATTGGATAAAATGAGTTGATCAGAGAAATACTCCATATAATAGTTGCTTGAGTACAAGAAAACGAATAGGTCTCTCTGAATATGAAATGAATCCAACATGATACATCAATGCTATTATATAGCTTATTGCTATAGGCCCCCATTTTCCTGCCATTTCTCTATTCAACAGATGTTCTTCTACACCTCCACCATGGCTTTTACATCAGCTGCACATTAATGAACCTATCAAGCAAACCAGTAAACACACCACATCCTGAGCTTGGAATTGATTTTTTTCCCCCAGTAACTCACTTACAGCTGCAGTATGTGACATTTATATGAAGAAAAAGTTTTTCTCATGTTTGTTTAAACTGTCACTATGTCCTGACAATATGAGTTAGATAATCTCTGAGAAGATTGAGCTCCTCCACCTCGTCCCAGCGGAGATGTTGTCGTCTGAAGAAATGCACATCTCCCGGTCAAAACAACCAATCAGATTGAGGAGGAGTGTCTTAACACTGTCAATCAACAACATCGTAATCAACCTATCTTTAAAGGAAAACCATTTACCTATTGTTATCTGTGCCTATGCTAACTACCTTAATAATTCACAACAGACCCTGATGACAGGGAGAAGCTATAACAGAGTGAAAGAGGGAGAGTGTCAGCAGCATGTACACAAGCATGATTGACTGCTCTAAGACCTTTCTCCGGGTTCTGATTGGTTGTTTTTTACTGAGCTGGGTATTTCTGCAGTTGGTACTGGGAGCACTGGGGAAAGGCAGGGGAAGTCAATTTTTTTCACATAATATTTACCTTACTGTTACAACATAGTAACAGTTTTAAATAATATGTGGTAGGGATCTCAAATCAATACAGGTGCAAAGTATCCACTGCTGTGGATAAACAATCTTTTAAACATGCTGTATAACATTTTTGAAAGATTGCTGGGAAAAACCTTAGTCATTTTTCCAAGTGTTCCAAGGTTCTTCCACAATTCACCTATGTTCAGTTAGATTATTAAGAGATTCTAAAACAAATTTAGCACAGCTGTTTGGTTTATCTTTTTATGTGATCACACTGTAATGCCTTGGTGACATTCGAAGGGATGACTTATTTTATGAATGAAATGATTTCTGATCAGGAGCTGGTCATGAAGTGTTAATCACTACATAATGAAACTCATCCCGTTTCCAAAAATTGTCTCAGGAGTGGAAAATCGGCACAAAATAGGCCAAAATTGCACATGTCCAGCCTTAGATTACCTCAGATCTGGACAAGGTTAGTTTATTGAAATATTTTTTCTTTATCACAGAATTACAATTTTGACTGTAATGTAAAATTGTCTAAATGTATTTATACTAAAATATTTTCTCATTTTGTTGTTAAAACCCCAAACTTCACTGTTGTAATAGACCAACACATGTTTGTGAAGTGAAAGGAGCTGATATATGATTTCCAAATTGTTTTAAAAGTAAAAATCTTAAAAGTACTTATTACTCTGATGCCTATAAATAAAATGCAATGCAAACTGCAGAACTCGTAATTTTTTAAAAAGAGACATTGCTTAATATTTAGTGAACTCAAGATTCAATTGTTCAAGATCAGACAGGAGTACCAAAGTTATTTCTATTTTTAAAGGCCATGCTAATGAGTGAGGGAATTGTTTTAGGATTTTTTTATTTATTTATTTATTTATTTTTTTATATCTTTCTTTGAGTATAGAGGTTTGCATCCATTTCCCAGAACTTTTAAACTATTTGACCCGGATTCAACTTTTAAAATATCCTTTCAGAAGCTTCTGATAGTTTCATGGAATTTCAACCCACTCTGCCTACAAAACCAGTATGAGACTAAAGTTTTGGGTCACCTTGATTATGCACACCCTTTTTAGCCCTGTCAACCATTTTTTTTTTTTATGAAACTGATCAGATCTTTGCAATGGTCACTAAAAACATTGACTTTGTTGTAACATATTCAGCATTTTCTTACAGTCAGTTTTCATTTGAAAGATCCTTCTTTGAGCCCCGGCTCCCTGGGTGGCTCATAATTTCTCTTACTCATGATTTTGTGGAGAGCACTAGTCCATAATGCAGTAAAACAGCCTCACAATATTATAATAACCCAGATGCGACAGTGTCTCAGAATTTCAGGATTCACCATTCTTCCCCAAAATATAACCATAGTCATTATGGCAAAGCACATTATGGTATCATCAAACCACAAGACATGTCTCCAAGAATAAATGTGTTAGTCCCTAAGTCCATTATCAAACTGCCATTAGTTTTTACATGGCTATTGGAGTAAAAGTCTCGTCTTCACAGGCCCAAAACTCTTTTCATTGTTGGTAATAACAATGAAAATAAGCCATCTCTTGCTAGTTTTAGTATCATGTGTAATTGTATGAACCAGATTGTTTAAAGACAGTAATCTAAGTGGATGTGAGGTTTATTAAGAATATCATAACAAAGTTAACCAAAAATCATTCTTTCATTATTCTTAGACTTAATGAGTCTGATTTGATGCCAGACTGTCAGTAAAAAAAAATGGTTGTGTCATTGTACAGGGTGTATGTAAATTAGCTTTAATTGTACGTAAAAAAATATTAGCATGTTTCATCATTGTATCATGGTCAATGAAAGAAAACTGGACAAGAAGTTTAGGAATAAGCCAGGAATAACATGAAGTGGACACAGAATTCACAGTACATTTTCCATCAACACAGGGTGAGAGGTTAACCACCAAAAAAGCAGAGCAAACCTCAAATGGACACATTTAACCTTCAAAATAATGTACAGCGTCTAAATACTTTCTGGAGCAGTGGTTCTCAATTATTCATTTTTCATGCCCCAGATAGGGAACATACTTTTTTTTCATGGCCCCCAACATAAATTTTAAGTTCTTGAGGCTTATTTATTTTTAAAGTCCTATAACAATTTCCAAGTTCAGTTTATAAACTCAATTTGTATCATTTAATCAGGACTGCTCTAGAGAGAAAAGGTGCATATTTTTCACTGGGCTGTACATTAAACACAGTTGGTTACTTTTCAGCTTTGTCAGTTTATTATTCTTCTAAAAGTTATACACATAAAATTTGTTCTTTTAAAATTTACTTAAATTTGTCACATTTTTCTGTCCCTGGTCACAAACTTCTCCATCTCTCCTCCATCAGCTCTGAACACCAGTGTGCCTGTGTAAGACACCCATGATCTGTGCTTAAATGTTAAAGACTACAAAATGATAAGACGTACAACTGGTGAAGTTTCTCAATGCCTTCCATCTGCTATATTTATTATTATTAATACAATCATGTATTTTCAAATTGCAGCATAACTGTTCTTCATATGCAAAACAAATACATTTGTAATTTCCCCCACATACAACCATTAAATTATCAATATGTATCCAATTATCCTTTCACATGAACACAATTTACAATGAATTACATGTTTTAATATCTTTTATCTATGTATTCTACTTTTAACCAACACAGTGCTTTAATACTTGCAGCTGGGCTGTTTCTTGTTAGTGTGTTCACTTGCTTTTTTTTTTGTTGCTTTGGTTTATTTTTTTATTTTTTTACCAGTGCTTATGATACAATTGTCTAGTTTAACAGCTCATTGATTGCATACACATGTTGCTCACTGCCAGCAGCATATCAACACCATTACACAATGTGAGGATACTAAAATGGACCTCACTTAAATAAAAGGCAGCATGAAATAAGCATAAAAATAAATCAAAATGGCACCTGCTGCGTTGCCCTCACTTCAGTTTTTTCAGTTGTTATGATTCAAAACTCAACAAATTAAGAATAGACCTAATACATCCACATTTAGCAGTGTTTCCTTTTAAATATTTTTACAGCCCCTTTAGTGTGTTTGTTTTGCCCATTCCTAACCTGTAAAATTGTCTACTAGCATAAGCTAAAGTTAATGTTAGTCTAAAAGTTTAAAGAAAGTAAAACTCACCTTCGTATCTGTGAATGTATAACGAGGCATACATCTCAAAACCTTTCTTCGGCTTACTTGTTGGGGCTTTGGATCGAGGAACATCATTAATTGTTACCTTGAAGAAGCCCTGCAAGCACCTAGCATGAAATGTCATAGACTGGAAACGACCGAGCCGCTCATCCCCGAATGCTTCCGTGCAAAGAGCATTCTGTCTCACAGAGCAATGCGCCACCCTCTGGCATGGGGGTGTAAATTATCCCTAAAGTGACTTACTCTCTCAATACCAATTTTAATGTGATTACATATTAGTGTGTCATACCTGTGTAGGGTACTTCTTCTGCTGGGTTGAACATAGATAGGATTAAGAGCTATTAGGCCATATATAAAATAAGCATGTTTGGAGGAGTTAAGGTCCCTTTAACATTTTCAAAAACTGTACCAACTGTTAGAGGTAGCATTTGATGCTGTTTATTTTTATTTAGATTGATCTCATCTCAGAATTGTATTAAAATATGTATGTTTCATACATGTATGAGCATTAGAAAATACTGTTTTATGTCAGGTTTGTATATATATATATATTTGTAAGATTCAAAAGGAAAGGTTTAGGAATTCCCTCTGTAGAATGTTGAAACCCAGAACTGTTACCGTAAACTTATTGTTTGACAAAAATGCAGTTTTGTCACAGTCAGACATGTTAGATATGTCTCTGCCTGAGTCAGCAAGGCTGCAGACTCTGAAGAGGAACGTAAACCATTTGTGTTGAAATATGTGAACTATGCTAATGCACCGAATCAGTTTTTTTTTTTTTTTTTCATGGTTATGCAGGTGAACAAGTTTTGTACTAATTACCGTTAAGTTTATGTTGGTCATTGGGTGAGGCTTGCTGCTATAAATAAGCACAGTTCCCTACATCCACCCATCTCATTGAGCAAAGAGGACCTCTTGCTTAGTCTCGTTTGGTTGTGAAAGGTGAGAAGTGTCTTTTTGAAGCATTTTTTTTTTAAAAAAAAGACCTTAAAAGAACTTAATCTTTTTAAAATTAAACACTAAAATATCATGCCATCTTCTTTTGGTCTGCAGCATCTATTAACTGACACCCATTCTCTGCAAATATGGTCAAGAAAGTAAGGAAACATTTGTGACTTTATTTACTCAGATGGAGTGAAAGAAATTTTGATTTTGTGCTGTAGGATTTTATAAAAAAAAATAGTTTAGCAAGTAAAGTAATGCAAATGCAAACTCTTTCTGTTTCAGTCAGTTCTTACCGCCCTGGCACTCTTGCTGTTTGGTAGGTTCAAGTCAACAACAATATTACTAATTTCCAATCAAGATACAATCTATTCATATTTTAACAATTCTATAGATAACATTTTTCTTTTTACTGTATTTTTCAGGTTTTGTAGGACTTAGTCAACAAAGTAAGATCGTCTCATTGGGCATTAAATGCTTTCCCTGGATTCTCTGACAGTTTTACAATTTTACCTTTGTCTTCTTTCCTTAGAACCAGAATGCAAGAATTCCTTCTCTGCCCGTAAGTATTAACACCATTTGGTATTTTTATTGAACATATATTTGCATATGTACCCTAGTCTTTGTTCCTAAACAGTAGTCCTTTTTTTCAGAGGGCTGGACAGAGTGGTTTGACAGAGACACCCCTTCTGTTATTGGAGACAAGGAGACTCTTTCCTCTCTTCGTAGGGAGAATCCTGGGAAGATCTGCCCCAACCCTACCAATATTGAAGCTGTGACTCTGTCTGGCCATAGTGTTGAGGAAACGGGTGAAACAATTTTTAAGTAAGTACTGCATTGCTCCGGCAAGAATAGTAAGTGTCACATTATGTTATGGCTCTGGAACCAGTCTACTTTTTACCTTTCTATTTTGTATGTGCTATAATTTAAGTAAAGGCGTCTGGAACAATGTTTTGGGAAATTGATATGTTGGCAAACAGACAAGGACAAGTGAAAATAGGAAGTCATAAAGTAAAAAAAAAAAAGAAAGAAAATGAACAACCACTACTAGACTGCTTTTTTTATGTATCTAATTTTCCACTTTTTCAGATATGACACAAAAACCGGATTTATCTGCAGAAACAGAGATCAGCGTGACTGGAAGTGCCAAGACTATAAAGTTCGCTTCAGCTGTTCAGTTGATATCTGTCAAAATGGTGCCCAACCTAAAAAATAAAAATAAAAAAAAACTACTAATTTTAATCAATACAGAATTAAAATGTATTAGCACATTTTTGTCTTGGTGTGTGCTGGTTCTCGTTTGCCTATAAAATGAATGCATATGCAGTTTTGGTAACACAGTTTCCTGTTTTTGCAGTGTGTTGGACCAAGTGGTACAACCGAGACCGTCCCACTGGATCCGGTGACTGGGAGCATCTGAGTGCCCTGAGAAAAGAAAACCCTGGTGGAGACCTTTGTGCTGATCTTGTCTATGTTGAGGCTGTTACTGTTGAAGATAAGACTCCAGCTCTCAAGACTGGCCAAAAATTCCATGTGTAAGTTATCTTAAAGAAAAACCCTGCAAACACATACCTGTAGAGCAATATTTTCTTGATATTGATGGTCTAGATGACATGTAATCAGTTTTATTTGCACTTTAAGCAAGGAATAAATACATGTATAGATTAACAACAATATAACTAATGCATTCAAGCTTAATTTGTAGAAGGAATTATCTTGTAAATTACATATTGTTTAAACATCCATTTGATTCTTAAAGAAGCATATTTGCCTAAATTTGACCTTGAATCATTCAGCAAGTTTCTCATTTCTTAAAAAAAACATGTACACTTACACTTTTGTTATAATTTTCAGGTACAGTCCTGGAAAAGGATTTGTCTGCCGCAATGAGGACCAGAGTTTTGGCAAGTGCAGTGACTACAAAGTCCGCTTTGGATACTATTGTACCTCTGCTTCCTGAGTTTACTCCTGCAAATGACTTGAAGCTATTTTGTTTCATTTTCTTTTCCTTTCCTTTAGTTTACAATGACACAGAGACACAAATGCAGTATCTGTTTTGCAGGCGCTTCCTGTTTGTCTTTGTTATCTTATCTACCTGAGTCACTGTGAGAAGGGGAATTATGGGCTATATCTGTCTTCAACAAATTTATACAATGGTTTTTTCTTTTACCTGTGGGGAACGAATAAAAAACAATAAATAATTCAAAGCATACATGCACTTGTTGTTTTCGTCTGTCCGTGTTCAAATTTAGCCTCATTTTAGCATATCATTTGGTCAGAGCAAAGTATGAACCTAAATCATTTATAATAAAATAATAGTAAGGTTGATCTCAGGGTTCAGGTTTTTTTTTTTTTATTTAGTGAAAAAATTAAGACATACATATATGCTATGTATAGGTAGTTCTAACTTCAGTTGTGTCTGACTTTCACCAACTATCACTGACAACCTTGTACAAATTGATCAGAGATTTGTTAGGTTCCGTGTTTCTGTGTGTTTATTTTTGAGTTTCTCTGTGTTCAGTCCTGTGTTCCTGTGAGTCTCTGTCCTGTCCTCCCCGTTGATTGCTCCCCAGGTGTGTCTACTTACCTGATTACCCTCCCTGTGTATTTAAACCCACCTGTGTCTGTGTTCTTCGTCGGGTCCTTGTCTAAGTTTGTCTACTGCCGTCGTGTTGTAGTTTGTCACTCGCCAGTTGAACTGTAAAGTCCTGGTTTGTGCTTGCTCCCGTCGAGTCTGATGAATCAGTTGCTACCGGTACTTAGCTGTGTGCTAGTCTCTGCCGTGCTGCCTGTATGGACTGTGGAGCTTTATTTTCACCATTAAATTCATCATCATCACCATAACCTGGGTCTCAGCGTTCTCTCCTCACCACTTCAACCCCCACTCATGACAAGATTAACTGTAATAAAAGTCAGGCAGCTGAACATTTATAACTCATCTATATATAATGATGCCTATCACATCTAAAACAAAAACATGAAAAGGAATATTCTACATACTTCAAAGACTAGATGGGTCAAAGTACAAATCTGTTGAAGAATATATTTCAAAGCTGTAGTATGGGATGTTGTAAAAATCGCCATGGTATCTATAAATCCTAAATTTAATACTGTTAAAATATACCTGAGCTCTTAACAAGACTGGTACAATAATCAAGTATTCTGAGTAATCAGGAAAAGAATGTTAATGTCAGAAAAATGACTTTTACCTTTAGGAGGTAGCAGAAAAAATCAGAAACTCAGACATTTCCAATGTATTTCAACCCACCATTTATGGTACATCATAGGCCAAACATGGCAACCCACTAAATTGAGCCAAAATGCTTGTTTGAGATTGTAAGAACAAGAGAATCTATTTTTCTATACTTCAATAAGATTTGGTCTGAATAACAAGCACTGCTCATCACCAGACAATCAGTTTTCCTACAGTGAAGCCTGGTGCAGACTCAGTCATTCTAAACGTTGGCCTAACTGTTGGGGAAAGACATTATGTCAATTCAACATTGAACATTCTCCATTACTGTTATTCGTAAAATAAAATTCATTTTCTAAACAGAAGTTATAGTTTTTACTCTGTGCTCCCTATGTTCAAAGAAATATGCTGTAATATATTTCTGCGCTTTTTCTTTTCTATGCGTACAATAATGGTTCGGTTGGAAAACCTCTAAAAACTGAGTCACCCAAACATGCTTTGTGACCGTAATAGTCCGTTTGCTGTGATTGTCCCTAACAGCCACTCATAAGGCCGTGTTGAGGCACAGCTGAAAACTGAACAATCCATGAATTATTTCGCAACAATGGTCAACAATCCTGCATAACTGGACAGAGGGAAACACGCTCTCACCAGCAGAGTGGCATTTTTCCCTGTGGCAGTTGAACTCCTAGGATTTTCCACTCATCTTTCTTTTCTGCATAGAAAGAAAAATCACAAAGAAATGATATATGTCACCGTTTTAAATCAGACTGGACCCCAAATCTTAGAACCACTAAACATGATGTGAAACACAGGAAACCCATTACGTTTAAAAGAGCTCCGTTGGGTTATTAATGTCTGTTTTTGTAACCATAGAAGCCTGAACATTGTGTCATAAATAAATAAGGTTTCCTATCTTATGAATAATTTGATTCAATGTTCAATGACAAAGAACTAATGGAACTAATAATTCTTTCATTGTTGTTAATTTGTTGCATTTTTAATGCAGTATACCTAGTATACTATTGATATATATCCCTCTCTGTTAGATTTTATAATTCTTTTATTATTATGTTGTTGTTTTTTTGTAATTTCTGAAAATGTAGTAACTATGTATTTTAACATTTTTGTGTACCTTATTCAATTTAAGTTTTGTAAGGTGTTTTGAGTAAAAAGACAAAGACTTCCTAGCTTTACCAGAAATGTTTGTTAGATTTCAAATTCAAAAACACCCACAGCATTAATGGGTTGACGTTTATTAATCAGTGGGCTAGTTTATTGAAATGATTTGTTCTTACTGTTCTTATTCTTATTAAAATTTCTGATTCATGGTTAACATTTTGTCCCCTTGGTTAGTTTTTGTCATTTTATCGCATTACAACTACAGAGTTAATTATTGTTCACCAGGGTTTTTCTTTAATAGACCAACAAAAACGAAATACGTATTTGTGAAGGTAATGCCTGGTTTTCAAATTGTTTTACCCACCAAATTTTTAAACCCCTCATTTAAAAATTACTCTGATACCCATATATATGGGTATCAATGGGTACCCAATGCAATTGGTCACCTAATTTAAAAAAATATATATATATACATCAATTTAACTGTGCTATTAAGTTTTTAGATATTCCGCTCTGACCCTCAAGGCACACTCCCATTAATGTCTGGACGTTTCCCTGCTTCAGTACACCTAAATTCAGTTGATTGGTGATTGAAAGGCTTTTTTAAAAATCTAAACTAAAAAACTGTAACTGAATCAGTTTCAGTTACAGCAGGGAAACATTGAAAATATGTAGGGCAGTGCGGTTTGAGAACCTGGGTTGGTAAACACTGCTTTGGTGAACGTGCAGCACAATAAAGTCTAAAGGACACACAGAGAGGTCAAGAATAAAGTTATTGGGATGTTTACATTGCAGTTAGGCTATAAAACAACACCCCAAGATTTAATCAGATTTAGAAGGTGGGAAGTCTGGCAAGCATGAGGATAAACAAAGCTGAGAAATAGTGGAACTACAGAAGAAAGGGAAAAGACAAACACTTATCTGAAAGAACACAATCCAGAGCACAAATGGCAAAATAAATTATCACACAGGAATAAACTAAAATGGCTAAATAACAGTAGACAACAACAACAACAAAAAAAAATGGACCAACGCAAAGTTCAAACACTGTTACATTTGAACAAATTCATTTCATGTGGAAATTGTAACCAAGGAAAAACATGGCTTGTAGAAATCCATAAATCTCTTCCTGATGTCATATTCATTAAATTTGTTCATGATGTTGCAAAAGTTTGTTATATTTCTAGGACACTACCTTAAAATTGCATTCATATATATATATATATATATATATATATATATATATATATATATATATATATATATATATATATATATATATATATGTCTACATACAAATTAAATCAATCAGACAATATAGTTTATTTGTGGAGCACATTTCAGCAACCAGGCGATTCAAGATGCTTTACATAATAAAAACAGAATATTACAATGTTGTAAAGAAAACACTCTACGGTCAACAATTGAAGAAACATAAAATTTTGATGAGTGCCATCATCGAAATCATACACAACTCGGTCAACGTTTTGTTTATTATGGTTCATAACAATTCTAAACAGATGGGTTTTTAGTCTTGATTTAAAGGAACTCAGTGTTTCAGCTGTTTTGCAGTTTTCTGGAATTTTGTTTCAGATTTATGGTACTTGGAAGCTGGATGGTTCCAAATGTTTTAATGAACCTATAAAGACTTTACAAAGCAATGTCACCATCAGAGTACAATTTGTTTAAAGACAGTAATTTAACAGGGTGTTAGATTTTGAATTTAAAGGATGTAGTAAGAAAGTTCACAAAAACATTTACTCTTCGTCATTCTGCGATGAAGAAAATAAATAAAATCTTGATAACAGCCACTCACCCAAAAAAGAAAATCAAATAGTCTTTCAGTCAGTGACAAAACATGGTTTTGTCTTTTTTTTAAACTGCGTATGTAAATGAGATTTAACTGTAAGTAAAAACGACAAAGACATGTCTCCATTGTGCCAAGGTCAAGAAGACACAGCAGAGATGAAAGGAAATTTGACAGGAGTTTTAGGAACAAGCCAGGGCCCCCTGAGGCTCAAGGATAGCATGAAGTGGACACAGCATTCACAGTCAAGTAAATTTCACATTGCCACTGGCTGCGAGATTAACCACCAAGAAAGAAGCGCAAACCTCTTTTAACCTTGACAAAACTATGCAGCTGTCCATATAGAGGCTTAATGACTAGATGGGACACATAGCCATTAGGCCACATTAACAAGTACATTCAGGGGAACAAAGGTCAATTTAACATTTTCAAACCTAAGGCCAGTGTACTGTCAGTCACTGAATCACTAAATCTTCACAAGTGGAGTGATGCAATGCACAAAACGGACAGCGCAATGTTTACTCGAACAAATTCCAAAGTATATTTTGGAAAACCATAACTCAAACTGGCAGCTAGAGGGTTGAAACCTGGACACAGGTGTTCTAATAGAATATGTATTCTAAAGACACTTCAAGGAACATTTTGGAAAGGATAAATCAACTGTGACTTGACATGTATATATCCTAATTTAAGCCAAAAGCTTGCAGTTTTCCACAGCCAAGGTACAAACCGTAATTCTTTTTAGAAATAAGTTGAGTCTTATAATCATTTCTGTGAAAGAGAACAAAATAAAAGGCTGACAGTCCTAAAACAAGGCATACGGTAAACCTTACCTCTTGCTTAGTTTCCTTGGAATTTTTAAAGAAAGACGTGTCTTTCTGAGAGATTTTTAAAAATCACCTTCACCTTTGTGCATAACTAGAAAACACTAATGTGGGATGTCTTCATATTTTTGAATGCAGCACCTAACTGATACTCTTGTTCTGAAAATATGACCAACCAAGTAAGGGATATTAATTTATTTATGGTAATTTATTTTAATAGATCAATTAAAGATGAGATTTTATACTGTACAACCTGAGCATATAAAATAAATTGCCTATGAAGTAAAATAAAGGTTTAAGGATTCCCCTCTCTGTTCTAGATGAATTTTACCATTGCAGCATTTTTGTTGTTTGGTATGTACATGTCTGCAAAATTATTACAAATTTCCAATCAAGATACCTACAATCTATAACATAATTTCAGTAACTTTTATTCTTCCAACTTTATTTTGCAGGTTTTGTAGGCTTAAGGAAGGCTTAGGCTTCTCTGCTTACCAGAATGCAAAAATCCTTACTGTGTCCATAAGTAGCAATATCATTTGCTGCTTTTATTTAAAGTATATTTACCTTTATGTTTCTTTCTGAACAGTGTTTTTTTTTTTTTTTTTTTTTTTCCCTCCAAGGGCTCGACAGAGTGGTTTGACAGAGACAACCCTTCTGGAAGTGAAGACTGGGAGACGCTTTCCTCTCTTTGTAGGGAGGATCCTGGGAAGATCTGCCCCCAACCCGACCAATATGGAGGTCAGGACTCTGTCTGGCCGTAACGCCGAGGACACTGGTGAAAAGATTTACGAGTAAGGATTAGTCATGAATAGATAATGTTGTTTTGCTATGAGCCAAGCCATTTTTGGCTGTCTATTTAGTTACAGTGTAAAGCCCTGTTAATGACAATTGTCTCTTATCTTTTGTGTCATACTAATTTTTCTATTCTATTCTACGATCCTTAATCTCTTAATTTTGCCAATAAGGAGGAACCTCATCATTTGTAATATTGATAAACGATACGTTCACTTCTGTTTAATTGTCAGCTATTCTTTGCTGTTTATTTCCTGGATTTCATAACTTTAAAGTGGGTATAAACTTAATTTGTTGCCATAGAGGACTGTGTAGCAGCGATTCACTCAGGGTGAGTCACTGATCCTGCTTTGAAGATTTAAGTAAACAGGATCACCGTATAGTATTAACATATTCCTCTTGGTGTTTTAACCCTTTTGGTCATCAGACTCAGTTGCAAACCTTTTAAGACCGCTGTGTTGCACATTTCATTTTCTTTGTTTTGTTTTGTTTTTTGTTTTGTTTTGTTTTTTCTAGATATGACACAACATCCGGATATTTCTGCAGAAAGAGGGATCAAAGTGCCACGATTACTAAGTTCGCTTCGGCTGCTCATTTGATACCTGTGAAAATGGTATCAACTCCCTTTTTAACAATACAAAAAGAAAATGATAAATGTATGTACCACTGGTGTCTTAGTGGCAGTTGCGTAAGTGGTTTTAGTAACACAGCTTTTGAACTCTATTTCTTTTTTCTTTTTTTTCTTTTTTTTTTGTTTTGTTTTGTTTTGTTTTTGTTTTTTGTTTTTTTAGTGTGCTGGACCAAGTGGTACAATCGAGACCGTCCCAGTGGATCTGGTGACTGGGAGCATCTGAGTGCCCTGAGAAAAGAAAAGCCTGGTGGGGACCTTTGTGCTGATCTTGTCTATGTTGAGGCTTTTACTGTTGAAGATAACATTCCAGCTCTCAAGAGAGGACAGAAATTCCATTAGTAGGTTATCTTAAAAAAAAAGAACAAAAAACGGTTCTTCCAAACATGTCCCTGTAAAGTACAGTTTTCATGACATTAGCAGTAAGATGCAAGTTAAAATAACCTGGCTTTTTTTCTTTTTTCTTTAGTAAAATAATAGATATACCTATAAAACAAAAAATAATGTATTCAAACTTAATTTGGTTTTTATAATGATCTTGCTTACTATATAGTATTTAAATGTACATCTAATTCTTAAATAAGCAGACTAAATTTAACTACAAATCATTCAGCAAGTTTCTCATTTCTAGTCAAACATATACACTTAACCGTTTTTGTTATCATTTTCGGCTACAGCCCTGGAAAAGGTTTGTCTGCCGAAATAAGAACCACACATCTGGCAAGTGCAGGGACTACAAAGTTCGCTTTGGATGCAGTTGTCGCTCCGTTGCCTGACTCGACTCCTGCAAATGATCAGAGGGAAGAAACTGAAGTTTGATTTTGATTTCTTTGCCATTTCCTTATCCTTTTTAGTCATTTCCACAAATGAAGTATCTGTTTTGCAGGTGCTGCTTGCTTGTCATTGACGTCTCGTCTACTTAAAGTACAGTGAAGAAGGAAATTATAGCTTTGTCTGTGTTTAACAAATGCATCAATTGATCTTTTTATTTTACCTGAGGGGAATTAGTCAAAAACAACAAATAATCCAAAGCATATATGCTCTTGTTGGGTTCATCTTTCTGCTGTATTCAAATTAAACCTTATTGGATGATTTGGTCAGAGTAACGTATGACTCTAAATGATTGACATAATTCAGCTGTACTACATTTTTTGTCAGAGTTCAGTTTTTTTTTTTTTTTTTTTTTTGTTATTTTTTTTAAAAAAAAAAAATATAGTAGATAAGGATTGTCTTTTTTGGACAAAAAAAA